GCACCAAAAATGTAGTTAGAGACATCGGATCTTTTTGAAATTTTAACACAATATTTCTACATATATATACATTCGAAAAATGTAAAAAAAAAAAACAAAAATTTTTTTAAATTGCAGAGTAGAAGGTCCCCTTAATAATATTTAACGATACGTGTTTTTCATCGAGTATGAAAATATTTTTTTATCGTACACACATGTGTACGTATATATAAATATATGTATGTGTATGTATATGTTCATGTTTATTTCTTCTAATCTTTTCCTTATTATTTTCATTAACTCAGCTATCATTCTAATTCAACAAATTGATGAAAAAGATAAAATAATAAAGTTATTATTGTACCATTTCGATGAAATTTATCGATAATCGTATTAAATGCATTATTTAAGATCAGATTAATTTATAAATGACAACGAGACGTGTAAAGCATGCGGAAAAATCGGTTGTTGTTTTTGTTTTTAATCTAATATGTACTGACCTTTCCAAAGATAAAAGAATCAAGGTCCGGTATTCCATTGAAAGAAATCCTGTAATACATGAAGAAAAAAGACATGAAAAAGGAACCAGTTTAGGTGTGGGAACACGGTGTAATAGAAAATCGAGTTCCTCCTTCGCAAAATGATCTTCCGCATCCGTTCTAAGCTCTCACCTAGACTTTGGAAAACGATCATTCGATCTCGAATGTTTAAACTTAACGAATCGTTCTAAACAACGATAAAAGACAAATTAAAACAAACATTTATTTAAGTTTTTTTTAAATAATTCATTAATATATCAACAATGATCAATGTGTTATCGTTGTTCATTTTATATTTAAGTGTTGTTACCTGTAAAGAAATTGAAGGTGAGTTTAACAATATCTTAAAATAAAATTAAAATTAATAATAATAATAATAATAATAATAGTAATAATAATAATATTATATATAATAAATTACACTTATACAAAAATTAATTTATATATTTGATTGACACTCGCGCGCGTAATATTCATTAATTAAATAAATTTATCTTAAAAATTTGGCAAAATAATTTTGGATT